GTGCACATAGGGACCAGAATCCTGAGGGAACAAATGGTGTGTGAACCAGTTGTTGGTCACCGGCCACCATGGGACTGCATCTCCTCACGATGCTCCATTGCCTTGTGGATCAAACCTTCAAGTCGAAGGCTCCGGGTGTGGCTCCCTAAGAAAACCACCTGCCTCAATTTAGGCAACCGGGCAGTATCACAGCCTTCACACATATCAAATTAGATCTGCGTGGCGCATATGTATTTGGTGCCTCCTTGTACCAATATCTATGTGTTAAAATAAAATAAATAAAAAACCTGAAAAGTAGACTGGGTTAGAAATGATTTTGAGCCTTAGGTAGTGTGAGTTCAGTTCCCCAGGGACATCTATCGGAAACCAGTCAGTCATACAGTGCCTTTTTGTTAGTATTTTTAAATTGATTTAGCTATTCATTTTCAAGCCCTTGCCTCTAATGACGGAAACCCGTGGGGCAAGCTGTGGTGTATTATTTTCAAGTTTGACCTTTTCTAACCCACTCCTTTTTGTCGTAGGAAGGCAGCGTCGCTGATGTCGGCTGTCTAAAGGAAACACTTTACTACAATCGCGACTAAGTATGGCTGGCAGTACAACTTTATCTTCGGGTCATGAGTTTGACATTTTCAGTGTTATCACCATCCAAGCGACCTGCCTGATATGATAAGACCTGTAGAAATAAGTGTTCCAACCAAGATAGCTCAACTGGGTCACTAATGTATGCATACTAGACCACCATGTCAAGGTAGCAGTTATGCGAGTTGGCAAAGGCCAGATGAGCTTTCTCAATTTAAGTCAGATTTTCTTCAGACACCGGCCCACTAAGGGTAGTGAAAAACCCACCCCCTTATAATCATCCCATCCATGAGGTAGAACAGATTTCAAACGACATTTTCCATTCAGAAAGGAAGAAACGCAACTGAACTATTCTTAGATAGCGTTCAGGAGACTGTATTCTACCTGTATCTTCACGTACATTTACATAGTCCAAGTCAACGAAAGTGTCCTATGTAGACGATTCCTTGAAGCGTCGGATGTGAAATGAGCCACCTCTGAGAATCTATCTATGAAAAGATGGTGTTTTTAACATTGATCGTGAAGTAAATAATAGATTTACAGTCGGACGTTGGAAGATATGCGTATATATTGGGCAATGTAATGCAAAGTAAGTGCGCGGACTAAATGTATCCACCGTTAGATCGAAAAACTAACTGGTCATTTCAGATTTACTGTACCGAATCTTTATTTAAGCAGTATTAGATGGTTTTCACAAACAAATTTATGTCTTGTAGACAAAACTACGTCCCGATTTCAACAATCTAAACGATAATATTAGATAATCAGTTTCATAAACCTCTAGAATTCAATCAATCGACTTTCAGAGTTGGAGATCCAATATCGTGCACTTATTCAAACTAATCCATTTAATAAATTGTGAATAATAATACTCAACAAGTCTACTCTCTTTTAGGACTTCAATAAATTCATATGTCCCAGTATATTTAAAACACTTTATTTACCACTTGATGTAATCAAGTGGTGTTCGTCAGGGCTGTCCACTCTCCCCATTCTTGTTCAACTTTGTGGTCGACGTATTTTTAGAGATAACACTGTCCTCATCTAAATTTCCAGGGGTTGAACTTCTACCAGGAGGTTCACTTGTTGACTTAGAATATGCTGATGACATAGTTTTATTTGGTGAAGACGCTGACAAAATGCAGAGTCTTCTGACCACTCTAAGCAACAATGCAAGCATGTTCGGGATGCGATTCTCTTCCTCGAAATGCAAAATGTTGCTTCAGGATTGGGTTACATCGACACCCGAACTAGTGATAGGGAGTGAAGTAGTTGAGTGTGTCGACCGCTTCACTTATCTTGGAAGTCTCATCAGCCCTTGTGGTCTGGTGTGTGACGAAATCTCAGCACGGATACAGAAGGCTCGACTAGCTTTTGCCAACTTGCGTCATTTATGGCGTAGGCGAGATATCCGTCTATCAACCAAAGGACGGGTTTACTGTGCAGCAGTTCATTCCGTCCTACTTTATGGCAGAGAAACATGTCCGGTAAGAGTAGAGGATATTTGTAGATTACTAGTATTTGATCGTAGGCGTCTTCGAAATATTGCTCGTATATCCTGGGACCATCGAGTAAGCAACGCGCCTGTTAGGAAACGGCTACTAGGTAAGGATAGCAAATCAATTGATGAAGTAGTGAAACTTCATCAGTTGAGATGGCTGGGACACGTTACGTATGCCCAACGACCGACTACCTCGATGTGCTATGGTTTGTTGTATAGGAGTAGATTGGAAGAAAGCTAGGGGCGGCCAGACCAAAACATGGCACAAGTCCATGAAGTCACTGACAAGTGGTCTGAGTCATGTTGATAGTTATAGACTACCTGGTTGGGGACCGCGAGATGATAGCAACCGATGGTTAGAGACCTTGAATGACATGGCTCAAAATCGTTTGCAATGGCGCAGGTACATCCACTCTTTGTGTTCTCCCAAATTCTAATCTTCTGAATTCTTCATGTCCCTTTTTTCCTCTTTCCAAATTTATTTCACTGAATTATACTCTTTAAATAACATCTCCAAACCCTAATCTTCCCGATCACTGCTTACACTCTTGCTACCTCTACCACTACGGGATTTGAATCGACAACTGCATCTCTGTGTTAAGGTGGTGTGGCAACTCGAACTGATGTACGTACGTACGAAGTTCTATGTTGTTACTGACTGACTGATACAACTTATTTCATATTTTTGATTATAATGACAATTATTAGTCACTGATATCTATCTACCAGAATGATTAGCTTTTGTTTACAATTAAACTGCTGTTTAGAAAGGGATTACCCAGGACAGGGTTGAATGGAGAATACTGATGGGCGGCCTATACTCCTCCACGAGGAGTAACAAGTGTAACAAGTGAACAATAAACAGATCTAACAGCAAAATACCTAATCAAATCCAATCATCACTATGATTCTAAGTTTCACTCTATGCTTGTTTTTATCGTTGTATTAATCATTAAAAAAAAACAAAAACAAATCGCAAGATGACTCATTATGGTTATGACCAAACTTTTAAAAAAAAAACAAAAAAAGGACACTTTTTTGCCAAATTTATTTTTAGTTGGTTGGATCCATTTTTTTTTTAAATTTTTGTGCAATATGTGTCATCCAATTTTATTTCTTTCCTCTATTTATTAAAGTACATGATTACTGATACATATACACATACACATGCACATACACACATATACAAGTCAGCGCAATAAAGGTACTACTTCCCTGTTGTATACAGTTAGAAACCCTATTTGAAAAAGGTAGTAAAAATACAGTGTGTATAATGATGTACATATGTGTATCTATACATACAACACATATGTAAAAGAGGCATGATGAAATGCATTCAGTACATTTATGCATAATACACAAAGAAAGGTAGTATTGATTTACATATTATTTACGACATAAAGAGCTATGAGATTGGGACAGAAGTGTAGTAGTCTATTTAAATGTCAATTAGTTCTAGTTAAATTTATTACCTTGTGACTTTTAATTAGCGTACTAACTCGATTAATTATTCATGATTATGATGAATATCAAACAAATAACAAACGTTATTACCTCTTTCACTGATTGAAATAATGAGTTAATTGAAATTAGACCGCCATGGGAAACCTCAAAGTACTGGACGGCCGTTTCGTCCTACTGTGGGACCCCTCAGTAGTGCGCATCCACGACCCCAAACCCCGCAAAATTCGAACCCAAGACCTATCAGTCTCGCAGCAGGCGCCTAACTAACTAGACCACTCCAGGAATATCTCTTGAAGTCAGTCACTAGTGAGCAGATGATTATTATCAGAAGGGGTTTTGTGGAGATTTTAGAAATTTAACTGATTGAAATCATGAGTTAATTGAAGTTGAACCACCATGGAAAACTTGGAAGCACTAGACGACCGTTTCGTCCTAGTATGGGACTCCTCAGCATTGCGCATTCACGGCCCCGCACCCCGCTTCAATTGACTCATGATTTCAGTCAGTGAAATTTCTAAAATCTCCACAAAACCTCTTCGGACATCATCTGTTTGCCTTTTTTCTAAAAAAAACCCACATGTACCGAGGCTATAAATGTTGTTAGGTTATACGTCAATTGTATTGTACTTAGGTCACCCCCTTTTCAGAATCATTCTAACTTTTATTCACTGCTAATGGGCTGGAATTCGTATGATACTCATGGATCATTGTTACATGTCATCATAACATATCAACACATTCACTAGTAATTGTTCACAATTACTCCACCTATTCGCAAAGACTTCATTGCTTACAATTATTTCTTATTCTCAAAAATGCAAATTAGTCATATGATAGAGTAAGCATTTGGACAATATGAAGACGACGAAATATGAAACAAACAATATGGCGGTTAACAAGAATAATTCCTTCCAGAAACTTGCTAAAATTTGTATTATTGTGGATAATCCCAATGGTGATATTTTGTTCAGTTTCAGTGTACCATGTGTGAATTACCTCAGTATACCCATTAAGACACATTGTTTTATAGAAGAGTTGGGGTGTGGTTAGTAGTGGAATTCAGGATGAGTGTTTCGTTCTATTTGGGACTCGTCAGTTGAGTTCGCCTGCATCCTAGAGTTGATGTTCACTCCGGAATTCGAATATCAACTCTGGAAGGTGGGTACTGGCAGATACATACAAGTAATAAGTCCCAAATAGGAAGAAACACGCATTCTGAAATCCACTGCTAACAATATTCAGATATGTTTTAGACAACGGAAAGTGTGATAAGAACAATTGTATTGCCACAAATAGGAGAATATTTTAAAGGACATAATGTACAGACATTCCTTAAATTTGGCTTTAAAAAAAGACCCAAGTTGCATAACTTTAGCTTGCTTATTTGTTGGACAGACGATAGACGAAGACATTGCAAATAATGACAGAAAAAGATGAAGAGAACCAACAGACTTACCCAACTACTAGTTAACTGTTGATGAAGTACAGAGCGCAGTTTATCCTTATCCCTTTCAAGCTCTTGTATTCGTTGATCTTTTGCATTGACAACAGCTTTTAAATGTGCAATCATTTCTTGTAATTGAACAATTGTTTCATTTGTTGTTGTAGGATTAGATGCATTATTTATAACTCCATTAATAACATTATTATTATTGCTAGGAGTAGTAGTAATAGTATGGCTACTGTTAATTGATTGTGGATTAGTCTTACCACATGACGATAGATGATCATCATTTGAAGATGATGTTTGTTGGTTAGTTGGATGACTATGTATGACTAACTGTTTATTATGTGATTTTGTATTGGTTACATTTTTAGTTACCTTATTAGTGACATTTCCATCGGGAGAATGAGGAACCCCACCGCCAACACCAGCCCCATAGCTTGGGTTAGCCTAGGTATGCCAACAAGATAAACAGATGTATAAAAAAATTGAAAAAAACAATTTTAATAGACTAACAGGTTAATGGGATATCCAACCCACTAAATGCAACAGAACACGTTCGTATTCTACGAAACAACAGCTGGGTATTAAGTAATCGGAAGTAATCCGTTGGAAACACTGTTTGACCCTGGTTTGGTGTCATTAGATATCTACAATACTAAAACAATTGATGCTCTCTTCGTAAGATCGGAATTCCGTGCCACAACCAAAGAAGTGACTACTGAACTACTACACCCACTCCATGTTTGTCTAGTCTTTAGTTCTTATAGAGTTCTATCACACAAACTCCAATTTACCTCAACTAAATAATTCTATATAGGATCCCGTAAACGACAGTGTGCGAAATAACCATACAAAATGGTTAAGAAAGCCAAAATAGATGGTGTCGTTTTGATCCCTTGGGGTGATAATTCCCCATTATATATACATGTAATCGATGAGTGATATCTGTTGTAAACGTAAAGCTGAGTTTTGGCTGACTAAAACCGAGAAACTTTCACAGAGCTGTTTCAAACCATGAAATAGTAGCTTCACCAATATCTAAACGTGTGCAGAAATACTTTTGCCGAGCTACTGACATATGACCGATTATTGGAGAACACTGAACAACAAATACAACAGAGAAAAATGGACAGTAGTACCCTATCCCTTAAAGGAAATGCAAATACACTAGACAGACGAAATGGAATATAGGTAAGTCTCAACTCCATATGTATAAGTAGACGAGTTGATGAGGTGATTGTTTCGAACCACACTACTTGAGAGTTGCCTGACAAAAACTAGTCCCAAAAGATGTATACAGCCGAGTCATCAGGAATAAACTGCCAAAGTTTGCCACAACAAAAAAGAACATGGAACTTCTAATGGAAAGAGATCTTTACAAAACACCTTGATTTAAGCTATATCCTTATTTTTGTACGTAGAACAATTAAACTGAACGGACACATTCACAGACACGAGAGGTGCCACCTAGTGATTCTGGCTAGCTTGAAAGATATCAACTGTAGATTATTCTGGGTAAGTGCACAGTTCTTAATTACACGCTACAATAATAATAATAATTTGTATTCTACATAAATATCAATATGTTGCAATAAACAATGAATACTTAGAATTACAGTGCCCTATCATGTTAACTAAAAAAGTGGACATCAAGAAACCTCTGATCTCGAAATTCTATTCTTGACCTAACATTTAGCCCCAACTCGAAGGACACTCCTACCATATTATTGCACCAATTCAAATAAGTATAGCTGTATGTAAAGCAAATAACTCAAAACGCACTAGATTGAATGATACAATCCCATGGTATGCTGGATTTCATTTAAGATGTTCATAGGTAATCAGTAGAAATCTGAGTTGTATTTCCGCGTTTATTCAAAAAAGTATGGAGTAACAAGTCATATTCCGAAAATGAAGTTTTTTTAAAAATTTAAAGGACTCTCAATTGGTTCGCTACATGAAGTTACATACTACTTAAAGGCACAGATATATTGAATGTAAACGAGGCTTCAAAGTGTGGAGCACATTTTTTTTCAAGACAAACCACTCCCAAGTTCATTCAGTAAAAAGAAAGACAAAATTCTGAGAACTGACTACACTTGAACATTAGTAGCCTGTTTATATATAATGAACAAAAATCACTTACATGATGAACATTTCCCATAACTTTCTGTAAAGCGTCTGTGGTCTGTTGCGGTCGACGATGAGATCGTAATTCCAAGATCTTCAATTTCTCTGAACTACTATTACTACTAGTAATATGATTAATATTATTTGAATGTGTTCGATTTAATAATTTCTTAATCAAACCATGTTTTTGTTGACCACTACTGATAGTTGACTTTGTATCTCCATTATTATCCTCATTACTTTCATGAAATATTGATTCTTTTAAACTAGACTGATTTGGTAAAGATATAGGATATTGATGAAAATCAGTCGAGCAATGGTAGCTACTGTCGTATGATTGATTTGACATATGAGCTTTTACAAGATTATTTCCAGAGGTTAGACATGTGGTCTGTGTACGATCGACAGCCAATGAGGGCAATCGTTGGCTTGTCACAATTTCTGGCTTCTGATTGGCTGCTTTGTCCATTGGTTGACTTTAGTGAACCAATTGGATGTAAACAATCTACTTGACTCGATAATGCACTCACGTTTGCTCGTGCTTTTCTTAATCGGTATAGATTTAGATTGAGGAACTAAACACTATCGTCTTCAATAAGTGGATAAATAGTCGTAGTCGGTCATCTGAAAGAACATACAAGGTAAATTTATGCATCATATCATATTCTTACTCAAATGCATTTGAAATATGCTAGCATTCCTACAAGCTGTCACATAACAAATAATTGACAGCCCAGTCCGCGATAATTGTAATGCTAATTGAATAAGTGAGATCGGATTTCCGCACAGTTTTGCCCAGTCAATCAAAGTCGAAATGGGTGAATTTTAGTTTAATGCGCAAAATTCAAAAAGGTAGTGACAGTTATCATCTGGTTTTGTTGGAGTTATTTCTATTTAGTGATTCAAAAAAATGCTTACGATATATAACAGAGTCAATTCTGCTTTCAGTCCCCAATGCAATTTCTACCTGAAAAATTATTCAGTATGACTCTAACAAGGTAGTTGGCGCTTATCAAAATGGTTCAGTTCAACTGTTAACGACTTAATAGATTGATGACATATTTCGACTTAGCCACTCCTAGCTTTTTTCCAACATGTCCCTACTCCAACCAAAATTGTTGAACATAATAAGTAACTAACATATGTCCTAACCATATCAGTCAATAAAGATCCACTACTTCATTAATCAGTTTCCCATGTCCACTTAGCACCCTTTATGCAACCTCAGTACGACACATTCGGTGGTCCCAACGTACGCTTCAAATGCATCTGTAATCAACTACCAGTAACCTGTAAATAGTCTCCACGCTTAAAAGCCACATACCACTGCCATAAATCAGAGCAGAAGGAAATATTGTACAGTACACTCAGCAGAAGGCGGACATCCAGCCCACATCACAAGTGAAACAAGTTGATGAAAGCCAAGATAGCTTCCCAAAGTGGTACTGAGATTGAATAAGACATCAACCCGTAAGGGATGGTGAGTTTTATAAAATAAATGAAGTGGTCAATGCACTCAAGCACTTTATTCCCTAAGGTTAATATAGGAGGTGAGTCAAACTAATCCTGGAGCAACATATTTAGAGGGAGGGAAACACCCTAAGCACGCTTGTATTGTTACTTATAAGAATTAAAAGACTTTTCGTTTACTCAGACATTTTGTCAACCAGAACTTTCATCGTATACCAATTTTATAAGCGAGGCTCCTGGTAGATCATTTTCTGAAGGTTCAGACGAAGGCGTTGTCTCCAAAAGAATATCTATGACAAACATCACTCATTATTATCAATTTTGATGACAGTAAGCCACAAGCTCTGGATCGACAAAATAGTTTTCAAGTAAAGAGCTTTCACGTGGTTTATATACTGCTTTTAGTGCCAAACACTGCCATCTCTGTCATCGACCGAGTAACCATAGCAAGAATGTCTAAATTTAGACTACAAAACAATTCACCAGTTACATCTTTCGAGAATATGAGGAAAGATTGAAAAGATCTTTCGAAACGCCAAGTCGTATTTTATTTCAAGCTCTTACTTTCACTTAATTTGCTTTTTACATACAGGAATTAGACATGCGTTACAATGGCTTACTCATAGAAGACATGTCAATAGCTTTAGACGACTGAGCTGTAATTCTGAATAGTGTTCATACTCTTATATCCTGTACTCATCCACTAGATGTGAACGGAAAAAAAAAGCTAAATATTGCAATATTATTGAACAAAGAAAAAAGGATGATTGGTGTCACACAATTTAAGCTACTGTTTTCTATGCAAATACACCATACACTGCATGCAAAAACATGAATATAATTTTTAATGAGTAATAATCCTGATTTTTTTTCGTTGAAAATCAACAAGACTATACATTTTAAGTGGTTATCTCTATGTTTAAGCTTTTAATTCTTTTTAAAATTTTGTATAAACAAGGCAACTAAAATCCACATAAATTATCGAATCTCGCGAGGCGGGATCGCGGGAGCATACCGCTGAGGAGTCCCACCATGGAACGAAACGGCCGTTCAGTGCTTCCAGGTTTTTCATAGTGGTCTAGCTTCAATTGACTCATGATCTTAACCATTGAAATTTCTATAATATCCACAAAAAACCCCTTCTGAGAATAAATATATTTTTGAAGCTTATAGTGATAAAGAACTGTATATATGTCAACACAATGAATGGAAAAATTTAGTAACTATAACTTTCTGATAAATTGTGAGTTTAATTAATGTGGGTTGTGTAAAAAAGTGTGTAGGCCGATAGCTACTAGTTTATTAGATTCATTCAGGGTAGGTAGGCTGAGATTTAGAAATTAGTGTAAAGGATTTTCAAGGTTGATATCATGAAATGACCATAGTCAAAACACCATTGAAAACAGGGAACCATTTGATTGTTGTTTCATTCTAGTATGAGACTCTTTAATAAGGCCCATCTACGACTCCAATACAGAGACCAGAATGCAGCACTTTCGGTCTCGCGCAAGAACGTCTAACCTCTAGACCACTGAGCTGGATGGAATCTGACAGTGTTAATACCCAACATCAATAAATTCACGATATTGAACAGACACCATTCAATTTCTATTCTCTGAGGTAAATAGTTATCTTATACTCCACGTGCTTGAATCCCATTGGTCACAGCTCAATAGAGCTCCAGGAGCCGTATCACGAAGTTGATCACTAGTGATTCCTGGATGTGGGGTCGTGAATGCACAGCATTAGGGGCGGCCAAGCCAAAACGTGGCATCAGTGGTTGGAGTCACTAAATGTTATTCTGAACCATGTTTGTAGATGCAGACTACTTGGTTGGGATCCGCGTGACTATCGTTTCCAATGGCTGGAGACTCTTGATGATATGGCTTAGAATCGATCACAATGGTGTAGGTGTATACACTCTTTATCTTCACTTAAATGATGAGATTAAAATTACTTTCTACTTTTCTTTCTATCAACTAATTCTTTCTTCATGTATCACATCTTCATATGCAATCTTTCTTTTATATATTACTACCATTGAAGTATCTGCTTCTATGAATTCGGTGTTCATCTTGTTGTGCTAATGAGGTATGACAACGTGGACCGATGCATATATGTGCCTGGTCCTATGCTGTAGCTGACTGACTGACCGTTGAGGAGTCCTATATCAGGATAGAACACTCTCCCAGTACCTCCAGGATTTCAATGGTGACCTAGCCAAGGTTGATTCGTGATTTTGACCACGAAAATCCTACAATCTCCACAAATTTCCCTACACTAATAATAATGTGATCACTAATGAATAGCTTCAAGATGCAACTCCTGGAGTGAGGAGCTGTGACCAGCGGAATTCAACGATGTTGGGTGAAAGTTACCTACCCCACGTAGAGTTTAAGTTAAATGTACTAGAAGCCCCTGGATCATAACTCAAACTAAAAGGAAATAATGTTTGTAAGGTTGTTTTTGAAGGTAATCGACAGAAAACCCAGGACAACTTAGGTCTCGTGCTACATAACAATCGTCAATATCGTGTACCAGTGATCTTGAGGAAACGGATGACTATCAATCGATTCAATCTCGTATTAGCCTAGCTCCATAGTCAAAGACGTTATCGATGAGCGGTTCGGGCTGCAACTGACCGAGGGCACTAAGATGCATTTATCAATGACATAGCATGTACTATTTTCATATATAAGGTTATAGTTGGATAAAGTTGATAGGAAACACTGGACCGTCGCTGATTCACTTAGAATAATGCTCATGTGGCAATATGATCGGTAAAATTCAATCAGCACTAAGCGGAACTTGACATACATTAACTTGATCGGTGCTCACTGATCAATCGACTGCAAATTAATGTTTGTTTATAAAAACAAGGATGATTAAATATGTTTGCTAGGTACTACAACTGTGTTGTTTTGCGATATAAGTACGAATGTTTCTTTGAAGTTTATGTTGAAGTTGGTCTACAGGAAAAGTAATAACTGTGAGCCAGTGACAGTATTTGCACATAATCAACAGCAATAATATTTGAAACTTCTGTCGATTTTAAATATCCTACTTACAAAGTTATCAGTAGCTTACAACGCCATAATATAATAAAACAAGGATCAAGCAAACCTACAACACAGATATTTCTGCGGTCAAATATATTCATGTCATTCAATAAGTTAAGGAAAACAAACAGTTGAGTTCATGTTGGATTACTTCTCAAATATTTACAAACTCTGACTCCATCATTATTAAAGTTGAAAGGTCATATACAACAGAAGTGATGATGACTTTTAATCAATCGAGTAAAATCATGTGAATAGAATACATTAAAATGAGAATTATGTCACGATTATTGCGACAATAACATTTGGGTCAAGAAAGATTCCTCAGGTCATCACAGGCACTATTAATGCAGTATGTGAATTGGAGGCATCGTCTACATATATACATATTTCATTTATCACTGAATTTTACATCAGTGTTTCAAGACAATCTTCAACGCTGAACAGCTACATCAGTCAGAAGATGGTACAAGGAGATATTTCTAATGCAAATAATGACAAAGTATGGATCAGTAATTAACAATGATGGAAGTTTTATATGAAATGAGAATGAAAAATAACCCTATAAGAGATTAGAACATTTAAAATCAACTGTACAATGAGAAATCGAGATATTCTTACTTTACTGATTACTGAAGATTATGTGATATTTGTGCACTAGGTTCACTTCTAACTGACCATATCATAAAAATTGGCCTATTCAACTGATATTTTACTCAATAAGTTTATTATTTCGAACCAGTTGTAACAAGGGTTCTTATATTATCTTACGGTATATATATATAGTAATGTTTTAGTTGTAATAGTAATGTGATGCATGCTACGTATACGAACAGAGATAAGCAATATATATCAGTATTTGGAAGTAGAATCCCAATAGACAGAAGAGAATGAAGAAAAGAGAAAGAAAAATAGAAATAGGAGAACAACGGAGTTTGTA